GGGGAACAAATTCATCAAGCTACCAAGAGCTAACCCTCCTGGCCTTGGGGGTTGTTTCTTTTTAGTTCTTGACTTGGGTAGTATTCACTTATGAGACAAGGAGCGATGGTTTTCCCTCTCATTTGAATGGGACAAATGATAACAGAATCTGCCATCGGGAAGAGCAGGCTAAGATGGGAAGAATGTCAGCATGGTACACTGAGATATGTCAGCTTCTGCCTGAAGTGGCTGGACTAATAATGGTTTTTACAGTTAAACCATAGTAACTTATTTAATAGCACTGGGGGCTAAGTGGTTTGTTGTTTCATTTAATCCTTACAAGCCTAGTACATATATAGTGAGGAACTGGACTCTGAAAGGTTAAGGTAACTTGCCTGTAATAAGTAGTAGGAAGAGCTGAGACTCAAAGAGCTGAGCTTGTCTAACTTTGTACCTGTTAGACCTGTCCCATTATAAGCAGAGACGTCAGGGCACATCAATACTTCCTTTGTAATAGGGTGCTAGGAGGGAGCAAGAGTTAGTGTATATTTTTCTAATGAAGAAAATAAATTTTCCATTATCTCAGAAATTAGTGAAATTTCATATATGCTTGTCAAATTGACAAGTAATTAATATTGTCATTTCACTTTTTAAGCTACAATAATATGCACTTATTGAGAACACCTGGTTAATAACTTGAATGTCTGGGGGAAATAAGGACGTCAGGTCCATTGGCACTAGTTCATACGCTGATGTTTTTGGATATAGGGCATATCCTTAGGATGCCTTTAGCCCCAACAGAAGGCATCATAATATACTTGTTTAATAAGGTCTAATTTTTATATAGGATTTATATAATTTGTTCATTTAGCAATTTTTTGAGTTCCTATTATGTGGCAGGCACTCTTCTAAATAGACAAAAAACTCCTTTCCCATGCTTTCAACCCAGTGGAATGTGGGTGTGTCTGCGTGTGTACATGAATTATAGAAGTAATGGCACCATAAATAAAGTGATAATGTACTTGGTCACCTGGAGGGTTGGGAGGTCATAAGCCATATTATAAAAGGGATTAAGATTGCAATGTCTTTGTAAGCTTAGTGGATGGCATCAAAGAACCAGGGAGTGGTGGATAATAGAAAGGATGCCATGTGAAAAAAGTTGAGTGTAGAAACATATTGAGAACGAATTTATTTGTATTTTAACTAAGACATACTCATTGTAGAAAATCTTGAAAAACCCTAAGAAAACAGTTCTTTTGAATGATGTATTTTCTTCCAACTGTCCTCTTACTAGCACGATGAAACAAGGGATCACGTGGAAGTGTGTCCCGATGCTGGTGTTATCATTCAGGAAATTTCTGAACGCATCGCACTAGCTGGAGGTGCTGCACTGATTGCTGATTATGGTCATGATGGGACTAAGACAGACACCTTCAGAGTATGTATAACTCGGGACTTATTAGAATTTAATGGGTATGATTTACTTCATTATCAACTGAAAGGTTTGAAGCTCATTGAAGATCTTTATCTTTGGTTTCTATTAGGTTGTTGGAAAAGTCATGATGTATTTTTTCTGTTTTTCGTTGCAAATATGACTTTTCCCACAACCCAATACAATGCCTAGCACTGTTGTTACATTATTTTATAATTAATGTTAACTCCTATTATAATTACTCTTAACTCTAGATCTTATTCCTAAGCCCAAGTCCACTGTCCAACCCTCCTTTGAACAGGGTCTGAATTGTCTACAATCTTCCTTAAGTTGTAGATCTCAGGTTTCCATAGATCCTAGGAAGCAGCTAAATAATACAAATGGAAAGAGTTTCTTAAAGTTCTTAAAATTTTCTGCCCTTCTGTCATGAAAAAAATTTATTTTGGTACTTCTTTGCAGACTTGATCTAGCTACTGTAATCATTCAAACTTTTTCTGTCATATTTGCAACATCTTTTCCTCTCCAGATATATATTTTTTACTTTTTAAAACATCCTTTCTTAAATTCTTTGAATATGATCAATTCTGTTCACTATATTAATTGAAATACATTTAACTAGATGCTGTTAGTCATTTTCTAGATCTGTGGCTCTCAGTTTCTAACTTTATTATATCTAAGAAAAACCTGGGGAGTTTGTTAAAAATGTTGATTTCCTACACTTACCTATAGGATGCTGCTTCATTAGGTCTGAGTAGCCTAGTAACGTATTCTCAGGTGATTCTGATACACATAGTTGATGGATACACTTTGTAAAACACCATCTAGGTCAGCGGTTCTCAACCTGTGGGTTGCAACCCGTGTGGGGGTCGATCGACCCTCTCACAGGGGTCACTGGGTACTCGTATGTGAGCGTATCTGCATGTGGGCCTAGAGACGGATAGAGGAGCAGTGTCTCGGTTCCTAAGACCATCGAAAATATGTGTTTTCCGATGGTCTTAGGCGACCCCTGTGAAAGGTTGAGAACCGCTGATCTAGGTTCTGATAACCTGAATGCACTTGGAGAATTCATGAGATCTCCTCTATTCCATCACCATTAATGAAAACGTTAACTGTCAGGCATTGTACTTTGTATTGGGTTTTCCACAGAGCAGCTCATTTGAAGAAAAGGGTGCTATTGCATTTTAAGGGTTGGTAAACCACTGAATTAGGCCATATTTTCCTTTTTAATGATTATGCAATAAGTACTAAAATGATAGCATTTCTTTAATCTTGCTAATGATACCATAAAAAGACAAAAACTCACTATTTTAAAAATTATGTTCAAGGGGTTTTGTGGCCACAAGCTTCATGATGTCTTAATTGCCCCAGGAACAGCCGACCTAACAGCTGATGTGGATTTCAGTTATTTGCGCAGAATGGCACAGGACAAAGTAGCTTCTCTGGGTCCAATAAAACAACAAATGTTTTTAAAAAATATGGGCATTGATGTCCGGCTGAAGGTAATGATTTATTTTACTTCACCATCATTAAATATTTTAACTTAACAGTATTAAAAAAAAGAAAAACATTTTAAATAATAAGTTCACCTGGCCTTGATGTTCTTGTAGTTAACCAGAAGTTTGTTCCAGCCTTCTCAGTAGTGTAGGATTTAGTGGAACTGGACATCCTGGGGGTGGAGCAGCCTGGTCTCGTATCTCCCTATGAGGTAGAATTAAGACTTTCAAATAATGTTCATGTTCGTTAAGAAAACTTGACCACATTTATGGGTGTGAGTTTTACAGCTGTTCTGAAGACATTTTAACCCTTCCGTGTAGATCAGCCCACCTGGTTTGGGTCACAGCAACCTATATATTTTTAATAAGCACCCCATGATTTTGAGGCAGGTAATCAGAAGTCACATTTTAAGCATGGCTTTATTGAATAGTCATTAGCATTGCTGCATAGAACTATACAGAAACTCTTTCTTGTCATTTTTACTAAGAAAATTTTTTTTTCAGGTTCTTTTAGATAAATCAGATGAGCCATCCTTGAGGCAGCAGTTACTTCAGGGGTATGATATGTTAATGAATCCTAAGAAGATGGGAGAAAGATTTAACTTTTTTGCCTTGCTGCCTCATGAGAGACTTCATGGTGGAAGCCATCAGAGAAATGCCCGTCAGTCAAAACCCTCTCCATCACCCGTAGCTGGGTTTAGTGAACTTGTTTGGAAGTGATATTTCAATTTGGACTTTTTTGCCCTCAAGTCTAAGAAACCAAAATAAAGGGAACATATTTCATATGTCACAGGTAAAGTATTAAAATATTTTGTCTCTTCACAATCAATAAAAATAGCCCATCTTACATACAACTAAACATTGTGTCTAAAACTCTGGAAACAAATATGTGTTCTCACATATGAAAGAAGTTACTGTGAAACTGAGTTTCCTTCAATTACCAAGGTGAGTTGCTGTATTTTTATTTTTAAAAGTAAACATGAACACTGATTGGTTTAATAAAAACTGGAAACAACCTAACTGGCCATTCACAGGGGATTGGTTAAATAGAACTATCCACATATTAATTTTAAAAATGACATACAGCAATATGTTCTGACATAGACCTCTTAAGATTTGGTAAGTGAAAAGAGTAGGGTGCAAAGTGTTTTAGTTATGAGTCCATTTTTTGTTGGAGAAAAGCTGCATTAAAAAAATGCTTATAGGTAATTCTAGAGAAATATTTTAGTGCAGACTGGTTGTTTTCTGTTTTGTGATATTTACTTGTTATGTAAGAAGTAAAGGATACCCAATAATCATTATTAAATTTCTCAACTGGAAGTGGGCTTTAGGCATGGGAAGAGACAATTTTTATTTGTTCCCTTTGAGGTATTTGAATTTTTTACCACATGCTTCTCTGAATTTTATAATTGAAAAAAAAAACACAAAAAACTAGATTTAAAAAAATTTAAGTCACAGTGAAACCAGTAAACCTGACATGTACTTGACATATGAGTTAGACTAAATAGAATAGACTGCCTAGGAGGAATAATTTTCTATTGGGTTGTCGGAAAAGTCATGATGTGTTTTTTCTGTTTTTCATTGCAAAAATGCGTCATGACTTTTCTGACAACCCTATAATTTGAGCTAATTTTCCCTTATTTTCAGATAAATGTCAAGTTTTAGTTCTATTAAGTTCTCATTTTTTTGTTTACAGAACTTTTATATTAATACCAAACACATGGACTTTCTGAAGAATTATATTAGCAACACAAATTAACAAGTGAGAGTAAAGAATATTAGCCATGTGTGTTAAACTTATGGCAAAACTATATTGCAAGTTTATTGGCAAGAGTGATGAACTGTTGCTTTTTATTGCTTCTTTGGCTTATCTGAGAACAGGACTAGCATTCTGTGTCTCACTCTAAAGGAAGATGGAGGCCTTATTTTTCAGATGCTGTCCAGCCTTGGGCCATTCCTAGTCATTTAAGTCTTCTGGCAGTTGCAGTAGTGGACTATTTCATGGTAGTTCCTGAAAAATTTTTAGTTACAATTATTCCAAACTTTCATTCCAAGAAATGAGACCTCTAGATAATTACCTCAATTTTCATATAAAATTGTAAAAAACGAGGCTTTTTTTATTTTAGGCAGTTAAAAAAAATCAGTGTTCTTAAATATAGCATTAGTTCCATTTACAAATACTATTTCCAAAATAATTCTCTTACCAAGGCCTGGAAAATAACACAACCAAATAAAATTTTCTTTGGATACCTTGACTAGAGATAGGCTCAGGTTTTCACATGGAAAAGTATGGTGATATGGAAATACATTTTATTATTAAGCTTCTTTGAGGATATTTACAAAAAGTGGGATGTAACAAAAAATATAAAACTGTACTGAAGAGTGTCATTATGGACTACTTTGTACATTATCAAATGTTTCTCTCAATTATTTCTTGTACAGACTTCAAGACAAAAAAAATGGTTATGCAGGTTATACAGTATCTGGAGCAGTTACTCAACTCCAAATTATCTGACAGTGCCTTTACAAATTTAGAAAACTTCTTAGGTATTCAACAACAAAAACAGAGTGCAATTAATTTCATGGCTTGTAAAGTTTGATTATATAAGTAGAACAAACAAGTGTCATTCCAGTTAATTTTCACCTTATGCAGTAAAACAACAGGGTGCCTAATGACTTGGAATTACTCCATTTTAGCATGTTGATATAAACAGACTTAACTTTGGAGAAATTGGGGGAAATCATCCTAGGGAAAATACATTTCTAAAAGATTTTGAAAAATTAATTTGGTTTTTAAAACTACTAAAATGAGACTGAAATACTGAGAGCTGTGGCATGTCTCCTGGAGATATTTATGGGGAGACAGTATAGCAAAATGGTTAGGAGGCTGAGGTGCAAATACTGTGACCTTCAGCAGCTACTTAATCTCCCTGTACCTCAGTTTCCTTATCTGTGACATGGGGTTCACTGTGCTGTTGTGAGGATAAGTTAACATGTAAAGAGCTCAGAACATAGGAGCACTGCACGTTTGCTCCTCTCTCAAGGGCATTTTTAGTCCTCGGTAAGGGAGTAGCTTCAGGGATCTCAAAAGGCCCTGTGTGTCTCAGTTTGTTCGTATATGAACAATCTTTTCTTTGGCTACCTCAGATTCAGTGGGCAGTAATAATGAACAGTTTTATAGTTTTTAGTTTATCGAATATGGTTAAACATATCTTTACAACACTGAGGAAGGTAGAGGCAAGAATTATGATCTTCATTTTATAGATTGAGGAACTCGAGGCTCACACAGATTGTCACCTGGCCAGGCCAACACAGCTAATAAAGAGGGGAGCCTGGACTTAGAAGACTAAACCCAGACCTTCTGACTCCAAATCTTTTGCTCTTTTTGGAGGAAAAAAAAGTATACAGTGATTACTGAGGGATGAAGAAACAAAAAGCCATTAGACTGTATAAGTGGGTGGTCCCAGACAGTAAACTTGGGGGCGGGGGGAGAAGGAAATTATTAGTAACTTTTTAAAAGCTATGGAAAAGTGTAACCTCTTAAGTATATCTGAGTAGAAAAAAAATTTCTTTAGCTGGCTGCTGGAGCTGAAATGGTAAAAAAAAAAATTCTTTCATTTGCTCTGTTGATATATCCCTACCCTTATAAACTATTAGGTGTTTCATGGTCAACTGCACTCACTTGCTTAAAATAACTGATTTTCAAACATTCCAGATGGATACTGTTCAATATTCTTTCCTGTAGCATTAATTGACCCTGTACTGGCCTTACTTTTAGTATATATTTAATTTTCGTCCTCAAATTATTCAAACCTGTGTAAAGATAAATTGTGTAATTAGAATTTAGATCTATACCCATTGAATTCTGGACTCTAACAGTGGTGTCAGTGGGAACACGGTATTTAGCAGTAGAGCTGAGCTATGAGAAAACATACATAATAACTCAGCACTCAGACCAGCAGTTCCTACTGCTGGTTTTGTAACATCAGTTGTCCCAAATTACCTTAGAGGCTATTGTAACATACTCACAAAAGGTGGCAACTTAATTTTTATGTTGTAGAGACCATATTCAGAGTTTCAACTCCAAAAAGGTTAGGGGGTCACTGTTTTGGGGAGTCTTGATTGACCTAAAAAAGAAAGGTAAACAGTCCAGCAGTCCTTTTCTAGGCATCTAGGAAAACCCCCTCGATGCCTCTGTGTGGCCAGTTAAATGTTTACAAGTCCTTATTGAAAATCTCATGTTGATAGCCTCTTGGTTATCTCTTAAATGCAAACCTGTTTAGTAATCAACCTTATAACTCTTGTATGATTTCATCAAGCTATGCAATAACTGGACTCTGGCTTGCCTTTTAAAAAATATAAGAACAGGAAAGGGAAGATTAAGTGCCACTATTGTACTAAAGTGAAGGATTAGGAAAAAATACAAAAACCAGTTATTGCTTATGCTATAAAAATTTATGAAAAGCTTCCTCTTGGTTCCATTATCTGTTTTTATTACTCAGTTTTCCCTCTTGTACCTACTCATTATGAACTACAGTATTGGTGTCACTGATTCCTTATCATATTTCCTCATGTCTTTGCATCCTTGCAGATGACAATCTCCAAAGAACAACAGTTGTGCAGCAAAATAGCAGTCCATAAAATGAAATCCTTCCTTATTGAAGTTAGGTCATTGATAATTAAGGATCTTCTTCCATATCATCTGGATTGGGAGCCATAATGAAGTGCTTTGGGTATTCCAGGTTGTGTGTGTATGCATGTATTTCCCAGCGGGCATCATCACTTTCATGTGTAATGTAACGTTCTCCAATGCGAGTTTCAAATTCTCTAAGGTCAAGCCAAGTCTGATAGTCCTAAAAAAAAAAAAGAAGCGATTATGAACCATAAAAGAAACAAAATACTGTCAACCTTTTTTTTTTTTGCTTAGCACTCTAGTCATAATTAACAACTATTTATAAATATCGTACTTGTTATAAAGTAAGTTCCATTTGTAATATCTTAAATTAGCAATGTTGAAGATAAATAATTTTTCAAATTTAGAATCTCTATGAAGAAAGTAATTAGTTTTCTAAAATTAAAAAAAAAATTGCCTCGGGCCTCTGAGATGGCTAATAATATTCACTAAAACATTTTGTTCCATACTGACAGGCTTATATCTTATTTCTTAAAATAGAAGAAACTACTTAGAATTTTTATTAGGATAATTTAATAATCGCTAAAAATAACTGATTGCATTTGTTTTGAAGTTAATCCCACCCCTCGCTCCCCTTAATATAGTTCTAAAGCTTCTCTCTTTACCTTCAAGTTTGAGGTTTATCTTTTGACAAAACTATTCAATTGCTTTTGGAGGAAGTAAGCCAGACATTTCAAATGCATTTCAGATCTCATCAATGTAAATATAAACTTTCAGTGCACATTTTAAAAGTAAAATATATTTGACAAAATAATGTCATGCTCATCTTACCAAAAAGTGAAATGACCACTAAAGCCCTATAAATAATTCATTGCTTTCAGTTCTGCATTTCAGTGTATTGCAAAACTTCCAGAGATGTAGCCACAGTACAAATTAATCACTGAAGAACACTTACAGTAGTCTAAGACATGCAGAATCTGTTGATCTTAGAGTGGCTTCATTGGGTAAGAGAAATCACAACCATCTGCTCAAACGAGGATTGCCAAAGAAAGATAAACATTTTTATTTTACCTGTAGCCAGGGATGACTAAGAGATTTGTCCACACTGAAACGTTTTCTCATCTTCACTTGAAGTAGGTTGTTTATCAAATCAATTGCTAAGAAAAAGACAAAATTAGATATGTGAATTTGGGTGTACGAAGCACCCCAAACCTGTGACTGCCTGGAAGGTAGTTCAGAGGACTTCATTTTTCAAGAACATGACCTTTAGGCTAACATGTTAGTGATCCATAAAAGTTTACTAAATTGACAATGAACCTGTTTTATTAAATACCTGTTTTATTAAGGAGGCGATGTAGAGTACAGGTTAAAAGTATGGACTCTGGAGCCACCCTGCCTGGGCAGAAGTCATTCTGCCACCTACTCTGTGTGATATGGGGTCAGTTACTAAATTCTACTCTGCTTTAGTTTCCTCATCTATAAAATGAGGTTGTTGAAAAGCTGACATTACTTTAATACATGTAAAGGGCTTAGAATGGTGCTTAGTACATAGTGCTAATTTAGTATTAACTTATTATTTCAAGATGAATAAAACAGACTGATTACAGGCTGATATTTTTGTTGCCCCCCCCCCAGTGACATCATATTGCTTTCTAGCCACTGCCTCGCCACTACAGAGGCGGTTAATTAGATTGAGGTAGTAACTTAGTAAGTTATTAGCAAAAGTTCATATGCAACAGCTTTTAACAAATAAGTTCATGGTGTTTGGGTGTGCATGGTGAGATCTTGGCATATATATTTTATCCAGTTATTTGGAGAAATGGACCAACTGTAAAACCAAAGCAACCATATAACTATATACTGATATAGCCCTATATAGCAATACAACTGAAATACTGATTCTAAAGCCTGGACTCAGGGATGAGCCAAATAAAAGACTTAAGACTACAGACTAATAGTTCTATTTCTCTACTATATACCACTAAACTAGCAGATTTTCCATAAGTATTTTAATTATCAAGTACTCAAGCCTTTATCCATGATTCCACTTTAAACACTGGTCCACCATGTGCATCAGAATCATTGAGGGTATTTAAAATGCATCCCTGCTATCATTCCAGCTGGTGAATCTGAATCTCTGGGATATAGCCTGGGGTTTTTCTTTAATATACTCCCCAATCCATTCTGACTTAAGAGGTCTGCAGACCACACTGCCCCAGGAGCTCTAAAATGACTTTGGTAATATCCCCAAACCCTCATACACCTCTTCAGTTAGCTGTTCATTACCACATGAGCCTGCTACTGTCTTTCCATGTTGTTCCTTAAACTTTTCCCAGTTTAATGGACTATTACTTCCTACGATTAGATTGGGTAATTTTGGAAAAACAAAGACTCCTTTGTTCCAAGGACTGGCTTAAATCCTGATGGGGGTATTCCCCAGCAATGGGTCTGTTCAATCCTATGAGTTATCTCTTCCTGTCAGTATCAATAAACTAAAAGGGGCCAACCAAGTCATTCTTGCTGGGCAACAGAGCAGGGGTAGCAAACTCAAAAGCCTTCACCAGGCAGGAAAAGCAAACGGACAAAGCCTCCTAGTAGGGGTCCACAGGAGCTCAAAACAAATGGGAGAGTGTCTATTGAATATAAAGCTCATTCTAGATACAAAGAACTTGAGCTACAGGTCTCCTTGGAAGGAGTTTACAATCTGGTTCTGAAGAAAAGTATGAAAAGATAGACTACTTAAGGAAAAATATACCCAACTAGTAGTCTGAGTACATCTTAAACAGTTTAGAGGAGGGTTTCAGGGAAGAACTTCATAGATGAGCCACAGTCACGGGGTTCTTGAAGAACTGGAGGATTTAATAGCAGGGAAGAAGGGCAGTAGGCAGGGGAAAGGCCTCAGGAAAATGCAGAGAACAGCTCAGAAGAGAGTACACAACCAGGCTGTACAGGGAGAAGTGAGAGAGGAGGCGAGGCAGCCGTGGGCCAGATGAGAGCTCCAGGGGCAGCATGGTGAGGGAGGCCAGTGTGGGAGCTGATCAGAGGAGAGAAGTGTTTCCTAAAGATGCACTTGGCAGTGGTGACTGGGATGGGCAGTTAAAAAAGTATTTTAGTAGTTTCAAAACGAGGAGGCCTGGATTAGTGCTATGCCTGGGAACTGTAAGGAAAAGTGCTCAAAAATTGGTCACTAATTGAATTTGGAAGATGACGAAGATATTAAAAAGAGACAGTCTGATTTGGGATCACAGATTCTTAGACTAAAAGACACAGAGTTACAGTTTTTTTTTTTTTTACCTTCACCAGAAATTTCTCTCCATGGATTTGGTGGGTACATAAATGCAGCATTTTGGATTTGGTCGTTTATATCTTCATCTTCATTAAAAGGAAATGTACCACTGAGGCTCACATAGACGATAACTCCCACTGACCACATATCTAGAGAACGGTTGTAACCTTTGCTTCTGAGAACTTCAGGGGCTAAGTATGCTGGAGTCCCTACCACAGATCTCCGGAATGACTTTTCACCAATGATGCGTGCAAAACCGAAGTCACACAGCTTCACCTGGAATTCAAAGGCTGGTGTTAATTTTACACACAAAAACACACACGCCTGTCTCTACATATGATAGTTTATCATTTCAGCACACTTGCCAACTGTATTGATTATGAAGGTCACATGGCTGTAGACAGGGAAATTATAAAATACCTTCTCCCAAATGGCAGATACATTTGTAACCTGTAATCTATTACTAACATAGTATGAAGTGCTTTCCTAGTGCTTATTTCAAAAAACCACTTTTGAATTCTGGCTTCCAGAATGCCAAATACCAGACTGGTGTCATAAGTGTTCAAAGTTTTTTGATGAAAATGAGGGTGCTGATCTTTTACCATTTGACTTTTAAGGAGATCACTTTTCTGTCATCTGTGAGCAATAATTATGTTTCATTTCTGAATCTTCAGTGGATTCATAGTGCCTGGACACATACAGGTACTTAATAAATGTTTGCTGAATGAAAAGTAAGTTATGGTATTTAGAAACTTATTCTTTATTTTGCTTAATCCTGGAATCTGTTCCCAAGGATACTATACATTGGCAAGTAAATGAAATTGAGGTGTATTAAAGGTAACTATTAATGCGGCCAGTAGAAGAGTAATGCTAGAGATTGCTGATAGAATTCACAGTGTTTTCTATGCCTGTGGAACAAATTATTGCTAGTTGGACGCTTACATTTGAAACTAGTTCTATCTGAAGGTGGCCGCAGTCACTGCCATATCCATTTGGGAAGAGCTCTGGTGGTGTGATGAGCTTGGATGAGCTCAGGACACTTGCTGCCTGTCCTCTAGCAGAAGTTCCAATTTTGGTGATGCATCCACACTGAACAAGCAAATGCCAAGTACTTCCCGGAGGCAATGCCCTGATTCCCAAAATGTTTTAGAGAAAGCATTAATATAAACAGAAAAGGGATTTGGCCTTTACAAACCAGTGGTAGAAGTAGTGACTGGAGAACAAAGGTGAAGGTGTATTCAAGTGCTGCTTGCTGCTTTGGGGATATGGACCCTCATACATGTTTTTGATGTTTGTTCTGTGTCATTATTGAATTACACTACTTCTCTACTTGAGTCTTTGAAGAATAGGCTATTGACCATGAAAAAATGTGAATTCTCCTATTTTTTCATGAAATGCCGTAATTCAGCTAACAGCGTCATAAAGTAAAGATGAGAATCAACCTTGGCAGTTTGGTGACTGAATAAAGGTGTGACCATGGCTAGCACTGGAGCAAAAAAACACTGTCAAGTAAATGTTATTTTCCCTTCCTTCCTAGTGGAACAATGGGAATCACTAAAGTAGAGGTCAGAAAGTTGGAGTTTTAGCCTCAGCTCCCTGCACTATTTGAAGATCAAATAAGATAACATATGGACCAATTTAAAACATTGCACCAACTATTAGGGGACCCTTTTTGACCTCACAATGATAATCACTTCTAACCACACAGGCATTATACAAGAAAATATGATCCCTTCTTTAAAAGTTAAAAGAGTTGAATAATTTTTTTAAATACACCTTTTTCTCTGAAAGAGAATGTGAGTTGTATCCACCAAGTGAAATAGCCCTGTGTTGTTTTTATTCTAGCCATTTGTCTAGTTGTGCATATTTTAAATGCACATAAACAATAGTCTACGGCAAGAGACACACTAGCTGTTTAGAGAATTCAAGGATACAATCATGGAAAACATTCATAGGCACCAACACATTCCTCAGAACTTTTACAAGCTGCATATGACCCACTTGTAGGTTATGGAATAAATCTGGATCCAAGATCAACACTTTCTAATGAAATGAAATTTAACTGAGTTGAAAAACAGAATCGTGCATCACACAGGATGGACACACATCACATGCATGGGAGCACTGGTGGTGGCAGGAAATGTAATTCTTACACAGGCTTTGGTGAAGATGTTTGAAAGTACTCTAAAGAGGAAGAGAAGTTGGCTGCCTTGTGTTTCCCAGTTCAGTTTGTTTTATTTCAGGATTCTGTCCTGAGCAACAAGCACCAACCAAGGTTGATTCTCCCCACTTCATTCCCAACCCACAGACAGAGGTGAAGTGCAAACAGTCTACATGCAAAAGGTATTCCTTGAGATCAGGTGAAGTCTAAAACGTCTTAATGAAAATAATTAGTAAAATCTGAATTCGAACTATTCAGGTAATGTCCTCATTGGCAATTACAGGATGAAAATTTTATTTCTGTAAGATGAACCTACAGCAATGCCTTTCATTCCATGGGTACTTCCTAATGTCAGATACTTAAAATGATGCTTTACAAGGTTCTGGACAGTATCTCACCTGAGGAAATGGCTCTGCTGATGCGAGTAGCACATTTTCTGGCTTTAAATCACAGTGCACAATATTTTTAAAATGTAGATTCCTCAAAGCAACGAGTATCTGTAATTGAAGGAAACAGATTTTTTTCAACGCCTGGAGAAGTCATAGCTAAACCCCGATCTGACCCCTTGAATGGTACAGTAATCTGAAAAGCCCACCACAGTTCATCAAAATGTAACTAAAATAGCCATTCTATTCTTCAAAGTTAACAAGTCCCACAATATGTGATATGTGAAAGCATGGCTTTTTCTCTTATATAGTTTCTAATCTCTAGTTTCAAAAAAGAATTAGAATACCTGTGTCACCATGAATTTAGTAATGCGTTCTGGAAGTCGACTTTTCTCACTGGATAGAATCATTTCCAACATATCGCCGTGCAGCTTTTCCATTACGACAAAAACTCGTTCTGGGGTTTCAAACATACATTCCAGGTTTACAATCCCAGGATGGTGCAAATTCTGAGGAGTTGCAGGGTTAATTGTATGGAATACAAAGCATACAAAGAAAAACAGCTTAGAAAAGTAAAAGCAAATAAAATAAGGATCACAGATTCTGATTTTTCCAAGTTCTGGGGAGCTGATACACCGAGGGGAAAGAATGTCTTCCTCAACTTGATTATGTAATTGCCCTGGCCCATTACTTCTTTTCTTTCCTTCTCTTTAAATCTTCTGACACTAACTTTATGCTGTCCATGCATAGGCACCAATTGCCAATCAAATTTTAGCCAATTACACAGCTCTTTGGGGCTCATATTTGTGAAGATCTTTGCTCAAGAGATGGTTTTGTTTCTAAGGTAGTTGTTTATCCAAATGTCTTGATTCTCATTATACATCCATTTGGTCTTCCCTTTTTTAGGCTCAGCATCTCTTTACCTCCATCATCCCATGTTTCTCGAGCACTACAATGTTACCAGGGCTGGACAATACAAAGATGAATATGATACTGTTTCTGGTAATGCAAAACCAACTGATCTTACTGGTAAAAACAAACAAACACAAACACCTTTCTTTAAGGCAAATTTGAGAAACCAGCCATGCTCAAAAATGTTCAATGGCCCTTTATTTCTGGACATAAATCTCAATTCCTCTGCTTGGATCTTAAGAACTTCAAAAATCTGGCTTCATTATCCCTATTCAATCTTAAATATGCTCTATTGGCCCAACTAATGAAGCTATTCCTTAATGGAAATATATATATATATATTTTTACCCTTATTATGGGTACCTTATTATGCTAAGAGGGAACTTTTTTGGGGCCTATGTGAGCTTGAGCTCCTTCTCTAAAATGTCTTTTAAATCCACCATCACATTACCTATTTTCGGGACTACTGCAATAGTTTCCACTAAATTCTATCTATGCAGCAATACTTATCCCATGCTACCATATCTGTGTACATATTTTACTCTGCAGCCTCATAAATTCCCTGAGGGCAGAGACTGTATCTTAGTCATTTTAGTTCAATGTCTGAATCATGATTGGTGCTTTAAAAAAACCTTTAGAAAATGAATAAAAAGCGCAAAATAAAAGCTGTTTACTAATCAACTGAAACCAACTTAATGCTCCAATTTACTAATCAATTAAAACATGGCATTAAAGCAGCAAAATAAGTGACACAATTTTACAGCAGATAAAAGTGAAACAGCCCAGAGTGGTGGGTGTGATAATGACTGTAGTGGAAAATTCAGAATGTAACTTCAGTTAACTCAGAGTTGGAAGTGTGGCTGGCTGAGCTCTATGCTACAGTTGTCTCTCTCTTAAGGTTCTTTTCTCCGCCTCCCTCCTTTAAAAACACGCCCATGCACACACAAAAGTAGACGTATGGTATAACATTCTTCTTCTTTCTCAACTTCTATTTCTGTAAATGTCACATTTTCTCTGGAGTCTCTTTTAGTAAATTATACTTTCATAAAGAACTAATCATTTTCTCCATGTTTTCAGATTTATCTGATAGTTATACAAGGTAGTATCTTAAGATTCCCTTAATCTTTCTCAGTATTCCTGGTCATCTCCCCAAGATGATTTTATATTTTATCTTTTTGATTAGATTGGCTACTTATTTTATTGTTATGCTACCCCCCCCGCCAGTGAAGCTGCTTTTGGATATATTTTATTATTTTCTATATTTCCACTTTTATTTTTGTCAATCCCTTCTGCATTTCTTAGGTTTATTGTTGATTCTTTAACATCCTGAGTTGGATTCTTTATTCATTTTCATTCTTTCTTCCTTAATATTTAAAGTTATAAAGCTTTCTCTGAGCAATAGCCCCAAAACTCTGATATACAGTATTTTCACATTTTCAACATAGTACTCTGAATCCAGATTTTGCTCTTTGATTCAAAAATTAAGATTTAAATTTTTTTTTCAGGTGGTGGGACTTTTTTTAATTTTGAAATTTATTTCTAGTTATGTTGCATTATGATCAGGGAATACTATTTATTATTCTCTGAATATTTATATTTGAATATTTATATATTCAAATGACTGGTTATTTGGTATAATGCTATTTGCACTCTTCCACTGTGTTAAAGTGCCCTTCTTCAATTCATTTAATGTGTTTCCCCTTAAATTAAACCTTATCAGATCATGACCCCCTTGGCTTTCTTTCATTTGAGAAGATGCCGAGAGAGGATATCACAATTGTACAATAGATCTCAAGAACAGTTCTTACTGTGGTACTGCTTCCTGTGTGTACCCCTGCTCCATCACCATTGTTTCTGGAAAAACTTCTACCTATTTTGTAGGTTTGAACTCTCTTCTATTTTTATTAAAGACATAGTATGCTTTTCTGTTTATCATTTTTCCTGTAGCTTTTGGATGACTTCAGAGAAGGGGAAAATGCTGAATTTATGCTTCTATGTTCAAGTTCATGTTCATATTTCCCTTTTAATTTTCTGGTAAATTTCCCCCCCACTCGTATTAAATACAAGTAGCTGTGACAGCACCACACCTTTTCTCCCACTACTCTACTGCCCTCTTCAGACAATAGCAAAGGAAACATTTTACATTACCATCTCTCTATGAAATGAAAGTCTCCATTTCTTCCCTGTCCCACAATGTGCTCCCCAGATGTGTCAATGTTGCCAGTTTTGTTATGTATGAATCCTTGGCTATACATAACCATACATAGACAAATACAGTGTATACATTACCTTAATAAATTACACAAATGGAATCATTTCCACACTTTAAAAAAAAATTTAACAGTATGTTATAGATAATTCCCCACATAAATAGATTTATTCAATTAAATGAGTATTTGTTATGTGCCTAGTACTATGTAGGTAGTCTGAATTCAACAGTAAACAAAACTGACAAAAATATCTCTTGTCTTTTGGAGATTCTTAATTCTAGCAAGGTGAGATAGACAATAGATAATAAACAAGTCAATCACCTACTATGGAGGTGATGAGTGCCATGGAGCAAAAGAAAAGACAGAGTAAAAGAGTGGGGGACGGGTGGTGGAATGACAGGGTGGGTTAACATTGAATAGAATGCAAAGGCCTCATTGAGGAAATGACATTTGGGCAACCTCTGAAGGAGATAAGGAAATAAATACACCATGCAGACACTGGAGGGAGGAAGCATTCCAGGCAGAGGGGACAGCTAATGCAAAGTCCTTGAGATAGGACCGTATCTGGCAAGTTTGAGGAACAGCAAGAAAGTCAGTGTGGCCATCATCTGGAAAAAAGATTCAATTTGTTGAATATGGTGTCTGTAGCGGAACTTTTTTCAAGAGATTTTCGTTCAGCTTAATAAAGAATAGTCACAGATGTCTAAAAATGTCTTGTGCTCATTTCTATTAATTAAACTGATAGACATACAGAGGCTATCAACCAACTGCTCAAGGGACAGGCTGGATGTTCCTGGGTAAACAGGTCACTTCTAAATTAATGATTCTATACATTTTTCCTTCCTGCCATCAGAAAGGTCAAAGCTGTGGTCTCAATGATATGCTCAGTCTTCACCTATCCTTTCTCTATAAACGTGTAGATGTGGGGAAGGAAAACTACAGATAGCAGCGGAGCTACGGATGAAGATTACGGTACCAGGATCAACTACAGGGATCAGCCAGCCTTTTAGGTGTGCTTGATGAGGACTACGTACAAGAACCCAGGGCAAAGATGGCAAAGTGAAGATGATACAGCCGGCGGCGGGAGGGAGGAACCAAAGAGTGGTGTGAGTGTATGGGTTCCTTTCAACCCATTTGAAAGTCTAGCTGAAATGCTCATATGACTAAAGGTTGTGGAACTAATTTCAGTAAAGGAGCTACCTGAAAAAAGTATCCTTTTAAAAAATGTATTTACACATGCAGATTGTACTGAATTATAATTCACATACAAAGTAGGCTAAAGTTGATTTTACACTATATATACAGAAGAATCTGCAGTTTACACACTGCAAAGGGATAAATGAAGTCACAATTTTATGTATGTACACATGCATAGGTGCACGTGTGTGTGCACGCGCGCGCGCGCACGCACACACACACACACACACACACACACACACGTGTCCACATCAAAGCAGGTCTGGTGAGGTAGAGCAGAAAGTGTACATGGTTTGGAGACAGATTCAAACTCTGAACCTGCTATTTTCCAGCTGGGTGAGTTTGAGAAAAATAAGTATAGCTTATGGCACAAAGTAAGCCATTCACTAAATATAAAAATGTAAATATTTTATATAAGCAATTTGAAGAGAATCTACAACAAAGAGAGTACTGTATTAAATTTAAGATGACGATATTGTATTTGGAGACATGCTACGATCACTTAATTCTATTCTCAGTTGGGCAATTTGAAAGAAAATAACCAGAAGGATATAATAATGTTTCTACATTGTGCATTATCTGGAAATGCCTATATTCAGTTATTATGATACAGTTGATAACATGGTGGGAAAGAGCTTCAGTGGTTAGTTCAGAGCTGTGTTTGTGTTCAAAGTGACAAGAAATCAAGCTTTAGGAATATATCCTTAATATTTATTTTTTTGCATATTAGTTGGACAATGAGAAAGATTCCAAAATTAGATATGAAAAAAAATCTCTTAACAATATATTCACACCCTAATACAGAGTCTGAATGCTATCAACATTCTATTTAAGGTAGCTTTCTTTGTAGGAGGAGGCAGGCTTGAAGTGACCACAGGTAGCTTATAGACCAATCTGTTGATTATCACTCCTCTGAAAAAGAAGGCAAATGTTACTACTAGTGGCCAATAATGTAATAAATGTAAAATTAATTAGGTGTTTATAAGTTTCTTACCTTCTTCTGCAAGGTAACGTAAATTCAGTAAGCTGTGTCTTCTTGAACTTCACCCACAAGCAAATGGGGCGCTGACAGCATTAACCGTTACATCACCATGATTTCTTAAATATTATGCAAAAGCTACACAATGAATTAATAGTAACTTGCATATTAGAATTTATAAAAAAAATATTTTAGATACTTAACAGAAAAATTTTTAAATAAAGCTAAAAATTAATCTTCTAGATGAGGTAAAAATGTTAAATAAAAATAAAAACACATAGTAATTTATTTTATGGGATTTAAGTCATTTCTTTTTTTTTTCCTTTCTTTTTTTTTTTAATTGGGGAATTGGGGGGATGGGAACAGTGCTGGGGAATTGGGGGAAGGGGAACAGACGAGTTGCTGTCGTTTTTTGTTGTTGTTGTTGTTGTTGTTCTTCAGTCTAGTTGTGGAGGACGTTGCTTCACTGGCCCAAGTTGGCACCATCATTGCGCTCTTCCCGGGTGAGGCAGATCAGTCACCGGCTTCTGGACAGCCGCTCACTGCGGCTGCTGGCCGCTCACGCTGGCTGCTGGCTACATACGGTAGCCCATGGCAACCCACTGCCACAGGGGCTGCAGCCTACGCCATCGCCATCGCCAGCAACTCATGGCAGCCCAGCTCCAGGTTGAGCTGTTGTTCAGCATCTTAGCTGTGGAGGGCAGTGTCACTGGCCCTCATATGTGGGATCCGAACCGGGGCCCTCTGGCGTCCCAAGCCAGTTCTTAACCATCGCGCCACTCGGCCGGCCCTTCAGTCATTTCTAATATATCTTTAAAAATATATCTTAATGGATTAAACCATTACAAAATTAAATCTTTAAGGTTTTGAATAAAATAAATACAACTTTTAAGAGGTAAATAATTTTTAAGCAGTCTTTATTTTTATAGTAATTGCTATAAGAATCAAGCACCTCATCTGTGAGACTTGGAGGTGGGCACAGCAATGGCCTAACAAAATGTGGTAGTAGATGTATCAAGTATTTTGAGCTCCTGGAGTGATGAATTAAGAATGAAATTTTTTTTTTGAAAAAGACTTTACTTATGAAAATGTGTTCTAAACAAATTACTGTAATAGAGCAAAATAATGGCAGTCCTTGTAACTCCTAGCTTACTGTAATCCAATTTTTCCTTTTAAAAAAGAACTTAAGGAATTAATTCGGATGCTCACTACCCTCTCACTGAGCCAAAAGGTCATGAGATGAGAATAAAACAAAACAAAATGAAAGATGAATCTTATCAGTAAGTACACTAAACAGTCGTGGATTTAAACTCATAAATCAAAAATGAAAACCAATACAAAGCCACTTTTCTTTTTTTACCTGTAAAATAGCCACTTCATTACGTAGTTGGCTTTCCTGTTTTGTGGGGAATCTCATCTTATCAATTACTTTAATAGCCACATCCCTTCCAGTCTTTCTATGCTTTCCTATTTTGAAAAAAAAAAAGTATAGAAAATAAGCAAATTAATAGCTCACATACGATACAAAAGCTTCACAATGTTGTCCACACACTGAAATTTATATGGATTTACTCTTACAGTTCTTTTCCTTGGCTCATTTTGTTCTTTTTCCTTCATTCACCTTTAATTTTAAGAAATAAATTATGTTTTCCCTCTATAGCATTTGCTCCTAATAAAGGATTTTTTGTTATTTGAAACGGTAGGAAATTTGAATCAACTTGTTTGGTGAAAAATAATCTACCTTATTAAGTAAATGATAGCTAATTACCCTGACCTAGTATTCAGAGACTGTCAAAATGGAAACACTGTACTAATGAATTAATTTTGTTCAAGAGTCACTGAGTCAGCACAGTGATTTAACTGCATATTAGAACAAGCGTGGAGGCAGTAAAGCCATCTAGGAGACCGCTGTAATAGTCTTGGCAAGGGATGACAATGGCTTAACATTTTTTTTGTATTGCGGATCACAGCTTATAAAGTACTTTTATGTACATTAAATTTAATTAATATTAACAATCCTGTGAGCTATGCTGTTCAGGTTTTATTAGCGCCATTAAACTGATGATGATACTGAGGCACAGTGAGATTAAATGAATTTGCCAATAACCTAAGGCACATAGTCTCCAGCCCTGATATCACATTCACGCCAACAGCAGAGAAATGGTGCCATTTGTGTTGGAAAAACAGTAGGACAAATATACTTCAGTAAACAAGGCTTCACAGCCCAAGATAAACTTCAAACAATTTTCCCCACACAAACATCTTGATGTATGAGCTACAAGAAGAGATAAAGTATGGCTATTGTGAAACTAATTTTCTGATTCTTTCTGTTGCTTAATTATGACAAGACGTAACAGCTGGCAGATGTTTTAAAATTTCACAATTTTTCAACAGTATGTACTATATGCAAAAGTCTATAGTCACTTACCTCCATAAACAATGCCAAACTGGCCTGAACCAAGCACCTCATCTGCAAAGATCTGGTAAACAGTACTGATGTCCTATTCAGGAAAGACAAAGCAGCAACATTAGTTTACCTCTACAAGGCAATGTCAACATCTGACTCTTTCCACCCAAAGATTTACATACATTTTTGTTTTTATGATAGAGGCAACTAATATCCATAATAAACTATTTTATGAAACTTAGGCTTTCTATGTCCTAGAAAAGTAAGCCTAATTTTTATACTATCATTCTTAATACGTAAGTATACTGTATTCTGTAAGAAGACCTTTGGGGGAAAATGCTTTGAATAAAAAAAGTTGTATTTATTAAGTAGTGATCTATAAAAAGTAAACTTAGTCTCCTAAGCCTAAATTTCCTCATTGGTAAAGTGGATATAATAATAACAACATTTATCTCACTGGAATTTTTAGTAAATTAAATGAGGATACTTACAATGTGTCAAGATGTCCGATGCCTGTCATATAAAAATCAGTACAGCTGACATTTGAACAATGCAGGGGTGAGGGGTGCCAACTCCCACGTAGTCAAAAATCCACATATGACTTCTGACTACTCCAAAACTTAACTCCAGTCACCCTTTCGCATCTGAGGATTCAACCAACCATGGAGTGATAATACTGTTTTTGATCAGTGGTTGGTTGAATCCACAGATGTGAAATTCAAGGATACAAAGGACCAACTGTATTTATTGAAAAATAAAGTGGACACCCAGCCAGTTCAAACTTGTGTTGTTCAAGGGTCAACTGTAATTCCAAAAATCCCAATTTCCTAATTTCTCTTTAAATTAGGTAAACTTAAATATTAACTATTAAACCCCCTGGGACTTGGTTTTCTCATCTGTAAAAAGGTATAGGGCTACATCTGTTAAATCCGTTTTAATTTTAAAAATGCCTATTATTTGATGATTATCAACATTTATTGAGCTCCAACTGTATACAGGGCTCTGATAGGTCACTAATTTGTAAAACAGACCTAAGGGACTTATGATGTAGTAGGTGAAATACAAAAATCTATTAAAAAGATAACAATTCAGAACATCACATCAGGGTCAAATCAGCATTACAATAAAGGTTATTTTAACACTTTATCTTTACTAACTTACCAGAATAACCTATATTCTCCATTCCCTCTGAAAAGCACATACTGACTGATGTCTATAGTAACATAATAAGCTATAATTTTTACTTACCACATTCTCCTGGATCTGACAATTAGATACAGAGATACTGGTAGACAAATCTTCTGTAATATATAAGAATGATGTATGAGGAAAAGGACAAAATGATTAGTATATTACTTAACATTAATATTTAGTGATATGTGAATGCCCACAGTATATTACATTTTAAAAACTGGCTAACATTCGGTTAATAGAATGTAATTACGTTTGTTAAAAAAAAAATTTCTCTACACATCCAACACTAATCCAGCAGGAGGAAACTGGTTAAATAATATATGATACATCCATACAAAGGAATATTATCTAAACATTTGCTAGTGTAGAGCTGTGAGTATTGAGTCAGAAAGCTACTACCCATGACATATTATTAAGTTAAAAAGGTAAGTTGCAGGGTAGTGGCATTTGAATTAAAAACAAAAATATGATTATTTCCGGTGAATGAGAGAGGTGGGGTTGGGAAACAAAAATTTTATACTATATACTGACATTGAAATATGTCTGATATATATCAAATAGTGGATAAAGGCAAGTTACAAAAAGAACACACAGAATATGACCACATGTTTTGGTAAAAATAAAAATATGACAATATAGTACAGATAGTACTATTATTAGCCCCACTTGAGATTAGAGAACTGGAGAGGCTAAGGTCACATGCTAGTAAGCGGCAGAGCTGGACTTTCATTCTCTGGAATCCTCACTCATGCTTCTGCAGCTCTGCCTGCAGAGACTCTTAATCCCAGAGAGGGTACATGGATGGGCTTGAGAAAGTCTCTAAACTCAATTATATATAAATCTGTGTGTATGTGCCTGTTATATTGGGGGAAAGGTTCAGAATTTTAATTAGAATATATGACAGTTCTAAAATCTCCAAGACTTAAGAAGCACTGTGAATATCCATCTATTCATCCTCTAATAATCAACATTATACACCAACTGTGTCATGGTCATTACCCTTATCCCTTCGATCACACTTGTCTCAAGTAGAGTTAACATTATCCCATCCACTTCTCCCATTTAGCTCTGCCTATCCTCACCTACCTGAGATTCAAGCTCAAGGTCCAAATCAGGTTCTTCTACCATAAAGTCTCTGCTTACTCTTCCTATCCACACTTGAGTTCCTCGAGTAATGCATTACTGACTTTTTGCACTCTATTGCTTTATGCTACCATTTAACACATGTATATATGCCTTTTCCCCCTAAATGGCTTTTAAAATTTCTGTATTTCTTTTGTATTCTAGATCAGGTCCTAGCATAGCAACACAAATAGTTGCATAAAATAACATAGCTGAATTGAAATAAACTATATTTAGAAACTGGTTGATATCTATTTTAATTTAAATATATTTGTCTAATAAATGAACTATGTTTCCCCATAAAAAACAATGCCAATGCAGGGGGGAGTGACATTATACTATGGTTTTCTGATTAAGTGTTCATTTGAACCATTACTAAATTTAGATTTTATTTTATAAATTTTGTTGGTGCAAAGGACATGTTTCAATTTTTTAATATTTCTGAATGTTCTAATTCAGTTAAAATAGAGCACTTCTAATTTCACAGATTTCATGACTGTGATGTGAACCATAACTCTTTATAGCCTGTTATATCCCACCATGAAGCAAAATACTAATACTAGTTTACTTAATCCAATGAGAATGTATGGATGCCAAACACTTTTCTATACATTTCTTGGTTCTTTTTCATTTAACACTGACAACCTATAAGGAAGGTATAATTAGAGAGGTAAGTACTTGTCTAAGATCACATAGCAGGTGGGCCGAGTCAAGACTTAAAGTACATTTAACACTGACAACCTATAAGGAAGGTATAATTAGAGAGGTAAGTACTTGTCTAAGATCACATAGCAGGTGGGCCGAGTCAAGACTTAAATGTAGGGAGACGACCCTGGAGACTAGCTCTGGGGACTGCATGTTTACACTATAACCAATATAATTTTATAAAGGAATTAACTAATGGTATTGGTTACAAAAGATGAAGCGTAACATGAGCATTTAAAAAAACATACAGAAACACAACCACACCACAAAATGCTTAAGAACCAAAGGGGAAAAAGCCATCAACAAGTTTATTGCTTACTGTGATCTTTCCCTTGCCCGGGAGACGTGCAAACACTGGCTTGAGGGGTAACAGGCATGAGAGCTTGGCGAATTGCTTTTTCCCAGCTCTGTGCTACATCAAGTCCAACTCCAGTGGCAGCAAGAACAGGATTGTGAGAGCTGTCCCCATTGTTCTCACCAACAAAGTACACCATAGTATCAGTGATGATTTCAAAACAGTGTGGGTTGCTGCCTTGTGAAATGTTTGTGAAATCTTGTGGTGAAGATATGCGGAGAATTTCTGAAAGTGGAATTTCCTAAAGTAGAAAATTAAGCATTGGAAAATATAAATACTTCTTTGTTTTCATTTTCAAACACACTAACAATCAAAGACATGATTTTCAATAAATGCCATTAAGACGAACGAACACAGTATGTGGCATATGGAACAGTCAGGTCTTCTAATAGTATCTGCCTTGAATGATCTGCGTGTCCAGCCATGCCAGGGACAGAGCATGGAGTATAATAACCTATTATAATCTAAGCCAGTGACTTGGGCCTATCACAGGTCATTAGAATGCAAGGAAGGAGGGGATTTAAGAAGCCAATGGCCACTATATGCAACACTTGTCACTTTCCAATTGTCATTCAATAACTCAACAACTCCTTCCCTGCTGGCTGCTGTCTGCAAGATATATTCCCCAAGAGTACAAAGCAGAAATAACAGCAGCAAATCAGAATGTCCGTGTAGGTTGTTCAAGTACTCCATTCTGGTTCTGTCCATAACTGTAATGATCAGTTATGTTTAGTCCACTTCCTAAGGCAAAAAAATTTATTAAAACAAACCCAACCAATTTAAAGCAAGTCCTTAGCTTCTATTCTTTTTCTTACAGCTACAACTGCTACACTTACCATCTTGTTTGGTGTCAGTCTGTGACATGGCAAAATGTGGAGCAAGCTAAGCAAAGAAGACTATACAACATAGATGAGAGGCAAAGAATCATTTGGGGATTAAGGCCTACGGTGAAATGGAAGGTAAGAGAAACACCGAATACATCGCTGGCCTCTTCTCCACTGACAGTAATCATGGGAGTGTCAAAATAGTTCAATCTATCATAAATCATAGTATCCAGAAGTAAAGCAGCAGTAACCTGTCAGGCAGGCCAAAAACAAAGAAACACACATCAAAAGACAACCTTTGTAGCAGGGCTGTTGTGTGGGGGTGAGATGGAGGGGTGGAGGACAGGTGCTTCAACAAGAACTTAACAGTGACTCCTATAAACTATTTTAGTCAGTCATAATATGTATATTCCAATATAACAATTAGTGAATATTATTCAGATATATTTCGAAAACATACAATACTTTGATGCACGTATTTTTTAAAATGTGAAATCTTTACCTTATAATACTTTGATCCAGATTCGTTTTGAAACAATGTTAGACATTTGCTGTCAAGTCTCCAATAATGCCTCTTTCTCTATAAAATAAAGAATATCAAACTGAGGGTTTCAAAAATTATGATTCCTCCGAATTCTTTTCCTTTCATTTCGATTCATAAATTTGTACTTTTTAATAGGTTTAAAATTCATGAGGTTCAAAATTCTGAAAATATGTAAAGGATATATAGTGAAAAGTATACTCCCACCATCACTCATACCTCACACCTACCCTTACTCCAGGCAGCAATGTTATTGTTTTGGGGAATCTTTTTAGAGGATTTTGTGTGTGTACATGCAAATACATATGCATTACACACACACAGATATATAATTTACCAATAGGCTAAATTTCTAAACGTTGGCTTGCTGAGTCGAAAGATATGTGCACATGTAATTTTGCTTGACAGAATTAAATTATCCTACAAAAGATTTGATCCAGTATATAGGCTAATCAGCAACATGAAAGTGCCTGTTTACTCAACACCTTCACTAATGCAGTATGTTACTAAACTTTTTGATCTTTGCTACACTGATAAATAAAAACTGGTATTTCAGTGGAATTTTAAATTGTATTTTAAGATTAAGCTCTTATGTTTAAGAGTCATTTGTATTTCCTTGTCTGTGAACTCTGTTCATTGGGTTTTCACTTAGTAATATGCATTTACGGCTCCTCCATGTCTTTTCATGGCTTGATAGCTCATTGCTTTGGGATGCTGAATATTTCATTGTATGGATGTATGCAGTTAATTTATCATTCACCTACTGAAGATCACCTGGGCTGCTTCCAAGTTTTGGCAATTATGAATAAGGCTACTATAAACATCCATATGCAGGTTTTTAGATTGATATAAATTCTCATCTCCTTTGGGTAAACGGCAAGGACAGTGATTGCTGGATCATATGGTAATCACATGTTTAGTTTTGTAAGCAACTGCCAAACTGTCTTCCAAAGTAGCTTTACCATTTTTTGCATTCATCAGCAATGAATGAAAAGTTCCTGTTGCTCTATATCCTCGCTAATATTTGGTGTTGTCAATGTTTTAGCCATTCAAATAGGCGTATAGTGGTATCTCATGGTTTTACTTTGCCATTCCTTGATGACATATAATGTGGACCATCTTTTCATATGCTTATTTGTCATCTGTGCACATTTGTTGGCGAGGTATGTGTTAAGGTCTTCAGTCCGTTTTTTAATTGGGTTGTTTTCTTACTCTTGAGTTTTAAGAGTTCTTGGCATATTTTGGAGAATAGTCTTTCATCAAATTTCTCTTTTGCAAATGTTTTCTCCCAGTCTGTGGCTTGTCTTTTCAGTCTCTTGACAGTGTTTTTCACAGAGCAGAAGTTTTTAATTGAAATAAAGTTGAGATTATCAATTATTTCTTTCATAGGTTATGCATTTGGTGTTATATCCGGAGATCCTTTTTGAATCTCAGTGGCTCTACCAGTTTGTAAAGACAATACATGAAATAGTCTGCCTTTTAAAAATTCTTTACAAATGTATATTGCATTTTAATTTTGATTTAAAAATGCGCAAAAAAGCAGGTAACAAAGTTTGACTACCATATGAAAATGTCTGTTTACTAACCAGGGTGTCCCTGCTGGTGTAATGGACCATCCATCCTTCCTTCACCATCGTGCTGCTCTTCCGCTTTGTGTGCTTGATGGACTGTACGACCCTCATTAGTGGAATATTATTGCTTGTCGATGGACTAAAAAATATTTAGGATTTATGATAAATACTGATAATATCAATTTTCAAAAAATCATATATATATATATATATATATATATATATATACACACACACACACACATATATATATATATATATATATATATATATATATATATATATATATACCATAAATTCATCAAGCCCTTTTAAAGATNATATATATATATATATATATATACCATAAATTCATCAAGCCCTTTTAAAGATAATTAAGCTAAAAATGTTCAAAATATCTTAGGAAGACTAACAATGGCTTAAGAAGAAAATAAATGAATCCTGTTATGATACAAAGTAAGTCCTCGTTATTCGTCATAAATTTTTCTGGAGGTCACAAAATATAAGAAATCAATAAACAGAGCAGAAAGACTCCTCCCCAGTTAGAAGATCAGGCACCTGGTAGAGGGTCCCCTTTGGGTTTGCTACTGAGGAAGTTCCTAACCTGGGCAGCATGATAAATTAGTAAATTCACGCCAGGCGAAAAGCAAGTATACCTATACTCAAATGATGCATTCGCTTTCAATACCTCTTTGTTGCCAATGAAAAATAAAACCTGGGAAAATGTGAACATTTTACTACAAGTAGTATATCTTATAGGGCTGTATACACAAAACACTGAGTTTCTATTAACATAGCGGATATTTAAAAGTTTTAAAATCCAATAGCATTTTTACAAACTGCTAAAAGCTAGATTAATGGTGGTAATATGAAAACTGTCCTCAAATTCGTCACCATCGTGCTTGGGCAATGCTCTCAGATCCATATTCTTACTGGTGTTTCTAACATCAGGTAATCTCCTGAGTAAAGGCTGTGAAACTGGTTGCTTTAACTGGTAGTTTAATTCTGGCACCTTGTGGGGGCTGCTCCACAGCTACACATTATATCTAGGCTATACTTAAATAAAGCATTTTCTCTTTAAGAAAACAGGATTTTCGTACCTTCCCATCTTGAGTGGATGGCAAGAATAATATATTTTATTTCGGAAATACTGTGGTACACATAAAAGAATCAGCCACTATTTATTAGATTTTAAATTACATTTTAGGCTCCACTTGAAGCGATGTGGGGCTTTTTCTTCATCAGTGGAGTTTCTGGACCAACCTTGTATTTAAAAGTAGCGTACAGGCATTACCTGATTGTTTTAACAGCTTCTTCATCTCTCTCAACCTCAAGATCAGATGGATCCAGGAAGAACATTTTATCTTCTGGGGGAGATGGTTCTTCTGCGTCATCCAAACCCCGACTACCATCACTGTTCATGTCACTACTGTCAATATCCATTGGTATATCTGTATCTGTTCCCAGACTGGAAGGTTCTGGCAAAGTTTTAAATGACTTTCAGAATTTTATATTAATGGGATATTGATACATTTAAACAGAGACAGTATATTAAATGTGGAAAAAAAAGTTTAAAAACTTTTTAAATGAAAATGTAGGAAAATATCTTAATGATTCAGGATAAAGAAGTATTTCTTAAGGAAGGTAAAAATGCACAAACCATTAAGACAGAAAATTAATTAATTTGATTACACAGAATTTAAAATTTCTATATAACAAAAGATACTAGAAACAAAGTAAAAGATTAGCCACCACTTTATACTTCTGGTCAATTGATTTTCTACAAGGGTCCAATACAATTCAATGGAAAAAGAATAAGTAGTCTTTTCAATAAACGGTGCTAGGACAACTAGATATGTACATGTAAAAAATGAAATTGGACCCCTTTCTTAAACCAAACAGAAAAATTAACTTAAAGTGGATCACAGAATTAAATATCAGAGCTAAACCTGTAAAACTCTTGAAAGAAAACACAGGAGTAAAGATTTATAACCTTCGGTTAGGCAAAGCCTTCTTACATATCTGACACCGAAAACTTAAATCACAAAAGAAAAAAACAAGTAAATTGGACTTCATCAAAATGAAAAACTTCTATGGGGCAAATGATACCTCAAAAAAGTGAAAAGACATAAAGTATTTGCAAATCACGTATCAAATAAGGGACTTGTATCCAGGATATTTAAAGAACTCTTACAAGTCAATAATAAAAAGATAAATAACCCAATTAAATAGGAAAAAAAACCAGAATAGATATTTCTCCAAAGCAGATGTAAAAATGGCCAACAAGTACATGAAAAAATGTGCAATATTAATTAGCCATCAGGGAACTGCAAATCAAAACCACAATGAGATACCACCTCATACTCACCAGGATGGATGGCAATAATCAAAATAACAGACAGTAACAAGTGGTAGCAAGAATGCAGCATTGATTCATGTTACAATGTAGATGAACCCTGAAAACATTATGCTAAGTGAAAAAAAAAAAAAAACCAGGCACAAAAAACCACATATCGTACGATTCTAATTATATAAAATGTCTAGAATAGACAAACCCATAGAGACAGAAATTTGATCAGTGGTTGCCAGGGGCTAGTAAAGAAGAATAGATGGAAAAGTGACTACTAATGGGTATGGAGTTTCTTTTGGAGTGATGAAAATGTTCTAACATTAGACTGTAGTGACAGCTGCATAAGTTTGTGACTAAAGTAAATGGATGAACTGTAAAGTATGCAAATTATATCTCAATAAAGCTGCTTAACAAATGATAAGCCACCAACTGAGAGAAGGAATTTGTATCCCATCTGACAAAAAATTTGTAGGTAGAATTATTAACAACTCCTGCAAATCAATAATAACAAATAAACATTCAAACAGAAAAATGAACAAAACGTGAACAATTTACAGGGGGGAAAACCCCTAAATAACCAGTAAACATTCGAAAGATGCTCAAACTTATTAGTATACAGATAAATATAAATAGTATTTCATATCCATTTGTCGAGGTAGAAAAGTGTAAAAATTAACTATAAATCCATATAAGACTTCAGTCATACAGGAAAAACAAAAAAACCAATCATGCTCTGTCAATGGTGTTAAACAGCAATCACAGAAAACATGCCATAAAAGAAAATGTTAAACTCTTAAGGAGTTTTATAATTTCCATTCCTTATGCTGCTTTTCTTCCTACAGAGCTACTTACATTCAATTTTTACCAGTCAAGGAAATTTTACAGAACAATTACACTGAAAGTTTTGAGTCATTACTCCTTCCTTCCAAAAATGGTAATCATTTTGATTAATATAATCTTGAAAAAATAAAAAATTGGCATAAGGGAAATTGTTTAGCTAATGATTATTTGATGGAGAAAGACACAATGAGGCTGTACAATGTGCTTTAATGACTATGGACTAAGAAGCCAGACCATTTGGGTTCAAATCCCAACTCAACCATTTATTGGCTGTATTTCTTGGGCAAGTTATTTAATGTATTTGTGCCTCAGTTTATTCATCTGTAAGTACTTAGCTAAAAGCGTTGTTCTTAGGTTTAAATTTCAATATGTGTAAAGAGCTTAGAACAGTGCCTGGCATATAGTAAGCAGTAAATAAATGTTACAACTATAAAATAGATCTAGGGATAACAGCAGGGCTTTAAAATGAGTCTTTTTACATCTAAAGATGAAAGAGGATATGCAGCACTCTTGTCTATAGACTACAAAGTGGTAGGTGGCTACAGGAAAGATGGGAAGGCATAATTCTAATTACTAATAAAAGTATGTATACCATTACTGATCTCTATAATTTGCTTGATTGTTAAGTCAGAAAAAAGTCAAAGTTAAAAAAGAAAGTAAACAAAATAAAATGTTCAAATATAACCTCATACAAAGATAATACACAAAAGAATTGTGACCTTTTATGATCTTTTATGAAAATTAAGAAAAAGAATCTTACCTCCATTGAAAGTAACCTCTCCAAGGCAATCTCTCGGTACTTTTGATGCACAACGTTTATGGCAGTTGAATTTACAATCTAAAATAAAATATTCAGCTTATTGATTTATGTAGTCCGGCAACATCAGATATGATTAAAGACTTTCTTTATCATATATACAGTATTATTGGAATACGAATAATGCTGCTGCTGATGATGATAAAAATCAAGTTTCCCTCTACTAAGAACTCAGGTCTTGGGCAAAAGATCTGGTTTCAACTTCTTTTTTTTAAAGATTTTTATTGGGGAATTGGGGGAAGGGGAACAGACAAGTGGCTGTCCTTTTGTTCTTCAGTCTAGTTGTGGAGGACGTTGCTTCACTGGCCCAAGTTGGCACCATCATTGCGCTCTTCCCGGGTGAG